AGTTTTCAGTTAAGAAAGAGTACAGCTCAAAGTAAATAAAATTAAGTAGGATCCAATTTACCTAGCAGTACTTTGGATTTCAGTACTATCTTTAATCTGCAGATCTAAACACTTTTGCAAACATTTCTTAAGCCTCAGAAAAGTCTGTATGTTATTATTTGAGTGCTAATAGTATAGCTATAAAAAGCTTAAAAGAAACCAAACACCTGCCCAAAAGCCTTTCACTGGATGATCTCTTAAGATCCTCGATATCTCAGTGGTAACTGTAATGGGAGGGAAAGAAAAATTAAGGAGAAAAGCAGGAATTTTGTCCTCCTTGCCCTGTGTCACTTGGCAATGAGGCATCCAAGATGAAACGCCAAAGTTCATTAAAATATACAAGACTGGACTCTAGTAAAGGGGAAATACTTTAGGAGTCAGGAGCAAAAATAAATTTATATTATAACCACCTTTTTTCTTTAACCAATCCATTGGTATGAAGAACTCCCAAGGAGAAAATTCCGTCTATGTTGGCACATGTTCTGCACATTATAATGTTACCTGGGGCACTAAGTGATTAAATGACTAACCCAAGATCACAAAACATAACCACCCTTTAGATGATAAAATGGTTACACTAAGATGCTAAGTGACTTGAGTTGGTGTGACTCAAGTGTCCACTGTCAGAACTCTGCTTGACACAAAAGTGAATGAAAAAAAAATGAAACCATTAGTCTTAGCTCAGTCCTGCACCTGGTTTGATTCTGGCTAAACCCTTTAGCTCAGGGCTGGTTGTGCCTGTTAGAGACAAGGTACTGTACCTGGAGTCAGGAAGACCTTACTCAAAACACCCTCCTTGTATACTCTGTAACTATGTAACCCCTGGGCAAGTCTATTAATCTCTCTGAGCTTCAGTTTCTTCATTTGTAAAATAATGGTAATAATCACACCTCCCTCACCAGGTTGCTGTGAGGACCAAGCCACATAAGCTTTGTAAAGCACTTTAAGATTTAGTTATCTAAATGTCAGCTACTATTACTAAATGTGCCAACAGGGCCTAGAGGATTTTAGCTGGCCCTGGAAAACCCCAGTTCCAAGGATCTTTTGGAGACAGGGTTCATTTTGTATCTCTAATAAGATCAGTTCACTATTTGGGGGTACTAGGTAGCTCATTCAGTCCTGGATCCCTTAGACCAATACGAGGTGTATTGAATGGTCAGTCCCTGCAGATCTCCTGAGGGATTCCAGGATGGATTGATTGGTCTTCTCTGTGTCTTCAAGTCTGAGATCTTCTGGGAGGCTCATAAAAGAACTATAGTATCAAGGGAGCTCCTTAAGGATGCTGAGGACAAAATTGTACTAGGAAAAACCCAAAAGATCTGGGGGAAGCCAAGCTTACTCCAAGAATATAGGAGTTGACATGTGCATTCAGTAAATACATTTATAAACTACTTCTATGACATCTTGCAAAATTCCTGAGTATATTATCCAAGTCATTTGTTATAATTTAGAAGATGGTATTTTAATTGGCTCATTTGATTAAGAGGATCCTCTCAGTTCACAATTCCTTTTGCGCATAATAGTGGATATATTAGATGATATGAATGGTAAAGCTAACTTACAAAGAGGTAGTAATTCATTCATCAAACATTTATTAAGAGTTTTCTATGTGCAGAGTACCTTGGGAGGATGGGGTTCTCGTGTGGATTATACAGAGTTCCTTGTAGAAAGGAACTATAATAAAAGCAAGTATAGTTGTTTCCCTCACATGCAGCCACATTTTCTCTTTTGACTTGTCATAGTTTAACTGAAAAAGTGTTTTTCACTTAATTCCAAATAGGTGTGTTGACTGTTGCCTGATAACAATAAATTAAGTATAGAAAAAAAAATTTTAAACTATCTCTACAGAGAGTGCTATATGGTTCAAGATTGTAACTGAATACTGGTGGCATTTCTTAAGGGGTTACAAAGTACTGCAGTGAGGTTCTGCAGAAGTATAAGAATATGCTGTTTAAAAAGCCAAGCCAAGAGGCGTTGTTGATATAAAGGGTTTTAGGACCTTGATCCATGGGCTCCAAGTAAAAGACAGCCCAGTTTGGATTCAACCTAGCCTTGCATCTCCCTTCTGCTACTGCTAACCACCTGTGTGAACATAGGCTAGTTATTTTCCAAGTCTGAACTTCCATTTCCTCATTTGTAAAAGAAGCAAGTTGAACTACACCTGATGGCTAACGATCCTTCCGGTTCCAAATCAGGACAATAGATTCAGGGCTGACCATCCAGGCCAACTAGTCCAACCTCCTTTTTTTAGGGATGTGGAAAACAAAGCCTACCAAGTTCACAAAAATAGGAAGTGACAGGACTCAATTTTCAAATTCCCATTGCCTCCTATGCTCCTATGAAATACTGCCTCAAATCCTTGGCCTCCCAGGCCCACCTCTCCAACGTGCATATTCCTTTATCCTGATTAGCTCTGAAGGGAATCATTAACCCCTGGGCACTTTTGCCATTAAAGACCTGCCCCAGCATCTCGAGAAGGGGTCAGAGATAGGTAGCTTGCTTGGAGCTTGAAAGGAATGTGCTGAAGTGAGGTATTGTCTTTATAATATCATCCACAGCAAAGTGGTCGCTGAGATGTGGGAAAATCAGCAGGCAGAGCAAATAGGAGTTCAGACAGGCAAGTACCAGGATCCTGATGGAGCATTCTTCCCCGAATTGCAGTGGAGGAAATATTTTAACTCTACCCTCTCTGCCCACCTCCCAAATCCCATAATCTTCCAGAAACACATGAGTGATTTGGGGACTGTGAATTTTATCCAAAAGGCTAGAGAACATATAGTTCTAAAAAGATTATAAATGGCTCAGCCCAGGCAGTCCAATCCACCCTCCACTGAATGCTTGGCATAGGCTCCCGCCTTCCCAGTGATGAAACCTGGTTGGTGAAATAAGATGAAAATGTCAGGGATTTAGCCTAAACCCTGTGGTAGTGAGTGAGGGAAGAAGGCCTTAGGACTTTGGGGAAGGGAGGGCCGCTGCTGGCATTTTGCAGCCAAGCCCATTCATTAATTAGATCTGAGCCAGACCTTCGTTCTTGAACCATAGCTGCTTGGCCTGCTAGGTTATAGAAATTTTAGGTTTTTCTTCTCCCACCTACCTGTAGTTGGGAATCTAGGGGTTCTTCTCTTCTAAATAAGAATCACACACACACACACACACACACACACACACACACATATGTTGCTAGAATTTTATTTTTTAAATGCTCCCTTCCTGACACAGTGCAAGCACCTGCTGCTTTCTAATTTCATTTAGGTTTCCATTATCTTTTCCTCTGTATATGAACTAGTCATTGTGTTTCTTTAAGAAACCAGGTAGACAGGCATATTTTTCTGCAATTTTTCTGTGAATGTGTAAGTGAAAAATCATTCCACATCACTACAAAGTATCTAAAATACTTCTCAGTAAACTGAAATAGCACTTGGAAAAGTAATTAAGGGGAGCTGCCCTGCCCCCTCAAATTAAACTTGCAGTTGAAGGAGAGAGACTGAGATTCAGTTTAAATAATTAGCAAGAGTTTGTCTATCCTACAATTTAATGTGAAACATGTTGCAAACCAGACCTAATTTTGCCAGCACCCAAACTACCCTACACTTTTGCTGCAGGCAACAGAAAACAAGGGGGATGGGGATGGGAAAGAAATATTCCTCTGCTACACCTTTAGTTTGTCTGATTCCTAATCTTTTGTGGGAGTGCAGCTGGAGAAACCAGTGCGGAAGATGAATGGCGCAACTTAGTTTTCTGAATGCAAGATTAAAGTTTGGGAATTTTACTCAAAAGGGACGTTGTTTTCTTAGAACCGGGATTTTTCTGACCGAAATCAAGGCCTTTAGGAAAAGCAAAACATAACATACTTGGGACTGGCAGCTCCAAACAGTTTAAGTGTGCTAGACATTCAAGGAAGCCTCTCCCTCTACCCTCCAACTTTCTTAAACTTCATTCCAATTAAAGAAAAGGCCATTTCTATAGCTTTTTTTCTTAAAAATCTGGAAACTGGATTCCAACCCTAATAAAAAGAGAAAAATTGATCATTACTCTGAGGTTAGTCTAGAAATAACAATTCAATAACTACAATAGCATCCCACTCCTGTTTCCTCTACTAGGACAGGAGGAGCAAATATGAAAACTCAGACTCAAAAAAGTACTAAGCCCTTGGCAGATTATTAATGTTTATGGAATATATATCATCTTGTAATAGTCATCCTGGCTTAGGCATGTATGTATGGACTGGGAGAAACGGGAGAGGAAAGTAGGACACATAGTTCTAAAACATACCAAGAAACATCCTTCTGCACTTTCTACTAGCTTTTCAAAGTGTATTGATTCCCAAGGTTGATGGAATATGTCCAATGCATTCTTATCAGCCTTCAGACACCAGAATCAATTCCAGTTGTCCGTCTATCGACCTATCGAGTTTTACTACAATCCAGAGACCTTTTGAGATTCCCTCTTTCGGTCCCTGCCCTGGACACACAGAAATGTATATTATGGGCAAGTGACTACTACACTTCCTGATTTGCCGGCAACCCAAGTAAATTGAGAGGATGTTCATATTAATGTTCTGCGTCCCTGCATGCTTCAGAATTGGGGTAAGACTGTGGGAAAGAAATATGTCCACCCCATCCTACCCCGCCTCTTTTCCCCCTCTCCTCCCTTCACTTCTACTGGGAAATGGAATTTTCCTTTTTTGCTGGATGAAGCTTTAATGTGACTATGACGCGTCTGTAAGATGAACAAAAGTGACTGGCAAGAAGGGGTGACAGGGACAGGGCGCGCTCCAGGAAGACAGGGGACTGGGAGAGGAAAACAAAAAAGAGAAACAAACAAAAAAATCCTCCGGCCTCTTAGGATAATGGGGAACCCGGCCCCCTCCGCTCCTGATCTCCATGGACCTCTTCATCTTCCAGGTAAGATGAATGTCCCGCCATCCATCATCCCCCCCCAGCAAACCTCCCTCCCCCCGGGGAGCCGGGAATTTGCTCCGTGGCTGAAACTTATTAGCCTCAGACTGGGCGCCTTTGTTGATCTGTCTGAAGCTTTCTATTGTGAGCTTTGTCCCCGGGATTGATACATTTACATAATGGATTAGCATGTAACTCTGTTCTGAGGATTTGGAGGTGGCAGTCGGCTCCAGGAACTCCGCGACTACTTGATTGGGGTAAAAAAAAAAATCCATATTCCCTCTGCATCCTTCCCTTCCTTACCCACCTCCAGCTACCTGTTTTCCGTTGGCCAGCATATCGACCTATTTAGAATGCAGATGTACTCTGAAAAGAAATCCAGTGTCTGAGTGCTTGTTTCCGCCCTGGTGCCCTTTCCTCCTCTGTGAAGTCCTCAAGTCTCATAAACCTTTACTGCCTTCCCTTTGCACCTTTAAACTGTAGCATTTTTAAAGGAAAACTCCCAAAGCGTAGAAAAACAATTGTGGTCGTTTACCCGGCACCTTAGAGTTCAAGCCTGGAACAACACAATGTAACGGTTCTTGGGAGGCAGTACTAGGTTAAGGGAATGGAAGTGTAAATTTGAAAATCTTGGGAAACTTCACTACTAAAACTGTCAGTACAATAGAGGGGTGTGTGTGTGTGTGTGTGTGTGTGTGTGTGTGTGTGTGTGTGTGTGTGTGTGTGTGTGTGTGCGCGCGCGCGCGCAACTTTTCTGATTTTAATGCACGACACACGATCAATGCCTCCTTAACGTGGTTACTGGTCAGAAAAGGAGTGAATACACCTATATTGTTGTACTTATCTAATATTACAGGGAAAGAAATAGCAACAAGAGGCAAGCTGGTGCAGTGGGCAGAGCTCTGAACCTGGTAGTTTAACTCTCCTATTATGTAACCTGTTACCTGTGTATCCTTTGGGCATCATCACTTCTTTTCACTAAACCTCAATTTCCCCACTGTAAAGGCTAATGGTTTAAATGACCTCTTTAGGTTCCCCTTTACCTCCAGAATTTACAAACTGATGTGGTATTTAATGGGAACTTTAAAATTAGGAGAAGTGTGCAGACATCCATGTACAAGCAACCTGAACCCTATTTCTGCTTTACAGACTTTAGAATATATTTTATTTAGGGGCTTCCATTTGCTTGCCCATTTTTTAAATTTTTTTTTTTTTGGCTAGGCATTTGGGGTTAAGTGACTTGCCCAGGGTCACACAGCTAGTAATTGTCAAGTGTCTGAGGCCGCATTTGAACTCTATTCACTGCCATTGTTTAATTCTTAAGTTGCTGACGTGTTGTTGTTGTGGGGGGGGGGGGTGTACTTGTTCTCAAACTTCTTCAGTGCCCTGAAAGTGATACTATCTAATAGGCTTTCCCTAGCATCAGAAATCTATTCGCCAGGTGACTTTCACCAGCACAAGATAGTACCAAAGCACAGAAACTGAAGAGGGTCTCAGGAAGAAAGACCAAGCTGTCTTTGGCCAAGTCTTTTGTCTCCACTGGCACAGAACTAAGAGGCGTAGTGACTTGCCTAAAGTCACCCAAGTAAGTGAGCAGAGACTTGGGATTCCTAACCCTGTGTTCCGCCTCTGAATGCATTCCAACCACATTTCTTTGCTTTGGTTCCCATAGACTTTTTTTTTCATGTTTCGTGCAGGAGCCTCTGCATACATATTGGGTAGTGGGACCAGAAAGGCCCCACAAGGTCGCCGGACAAGGGCCCGGAAAACCAGATTCGGAGGGAGTAGAGCCGTACCACCCCAAAAGAGAACTCGGCATCCCTCCCTTAAAAGTGAGTTCGGTCCCTCCTCTCTCGCTCCAGCGGGCACCACGCGGCCTCCTTTCTCCCAATCAGGACGCGCTTTTCGCATTGTGACGGCTTTCGAGCCCTGCCCCTCAGACTGTGATAAAAGGCGAAGGCCGAAGGCAGCGCCAATCAGCGCGGGGCCCGCTGCGGGGACGGCCTCACCTTCCAGGTGCGCTCCTCCTCCTCGCTCTCCTGCTCTCACCCTCCCGCCTCCCTGGCTGCCTTCCTGTGTGCCTGCCTCCTGCCCGGCGTTCCTGTCAGCTGCGCTGCCCTCCCCAGCCGGGAGGAGGACTGGGGGGAAGCCGCCGGCCCGCAGGTGACCCGGCGCAGGACCCCCCACGGCACGGCTGGCGAGCCCCCAGCTCCAGGAGCGCCTCCTGAGCGCGCGCTCTTCCTCCCTGTCTCTTTCTGTCTCTCTCCCGGATACAGGATGAAGAACCCAATGCTGGAGGTGGTGTCCCTGATCCTGGAAAAGCTGCTTCTCCTCTCCAACCTCAAACTGTTCAGCTGGAGCGCGGCCCCCGGGGAAGAGCAGCCGCCGCCGCCGCAGCCGCAGCCGCAGCCGCAGCCGTCGCCGCCCCAGTCGCAGCAGCAGCAGGGCAAGGGGAACTTCTATGACATCGGCTCCTTCCTCCGCGGCGACGTGCTGGAGGTGCCCCGGACCCATCTGACCCACTACGGCATCTACCTGGGGGACAACCAGGTCGCTCACCTGATGCCCGACATCCTGCTAGTGCTGACCGACGACAAGCTGCTGACCCAGCGGGTGGTGTCCAATAAGAGGTTGATCTTGGGAGTCATCTGCAGGGTCGCCAGCATTCGAGTGGACACGGTGGAGGACTTTGCCTACGGCGCCAACATTCTGGTCAACCACCTGGATGAGTCGCTGCAGAAGAAGGCGCTGGGCAACGAGGAGGTGGCCCGCCGGGCAGAGAAGCTGCTGGGCATAACCTCGTATAGCCTCCTGTGGAACAACTGCGAGCACTTTGTGACGTATTGTAGATACGGTGCCCCAGTCAGCCCCCAGGCAGACAAGGTAAAGGCAGTTTCACCAACTGTGAAAAGAGGGGACACGTAGAGAAATCTGACTCCCTTCGGGGAAATCTGGCTTCTCTTCAACAAAACCCCTTTAAAAAAAAAAGCACTCACAAAAAACCCCCAATCCTAATAGCAAAAGTTTCCAAACTTCAGTTTGTCCTCCTTCCTAACATTTTCATTGCTCTTAGAAAGGGGAGAAACGAGTTTAAAGATATGCCTCTCCAAGAGTAACTCTAAAAACATCTACCTGATGCTAACTGAAGGTTCCACCTCCAGCTTAGCTACCTTTGTTAATTAGCCTCACCTCTAAGTCACCAGGGTGTCCACCTTGAACACAGTTTTTAGTGACATACAAGCAATGAAACTTCGGGCCACGAGAATCTTGTCACCCTGTGATTGCACCTTTTCCAGAAAGTAAGGCTGGAAAAAGGAGGAAGTCCTAGTTTATAAGTTATAGTTTTTTTAAAAATCTCCTGTACCCCTTAAAATTTGCTCTATCGAGGGAGGAATCGAGTTTCCTTCTTCAGCAAGCTCCACTGATGCTCTTGGCATAGCCTAAACTGCTTGTCAAACCCCTCCCCTCCTGAATTTTTTTTTTAAAACAGGGTCAAGCAAACCCTTTCTAGCCACATGGTTGGGGGTGGGTGGTTTCATTTGTGTTTCTGGGGCATCAGCCAAGCTAGCTGTCTATTCCTGTTGTGGATTCCTTAAGGCCCCTTAACTTGAAACTCTTACTTTGTCTCAACACTCCCCAAGAATGATTTGACAGTTTCAGGCAGGCTCTTTGATGCTTAAGGTGCCACCTTGAAAATGAAGACCATATAAATAGGAATTTGCAGAAGTTTTAAATTATTATCAGTTTGGCCATGAAGCTCAAAATTGAGGACTGAATGATTTTAAAATACTTTTTTTTTTTGAAACTGATTAAAATTCTAAGCCTGTAATAAAATTTTTAGATTGAAAGCAAAGGTTGCTATGTGGAGGACAGGGCTACTTAACACCATAATGTGAATTGCTAAAAATGAACAATCACTTCTTAAAAAAAATAATGGATTATATTTTGCATGCTCAGAAATGCTAAGTTAGTATTATCATCCTGTCTTTTGCACATGATTAAAAATGTCAGTTGAGTTGAAGAAGAACAACTCTGAACTCGGGATAAGACATTCTGGATTTTGATTTTTTTTTTAATTATTCACTTTTTTTTAAGAAAAACTTTCTTAAAATAATAGAATAGTGTTTTTACTCTAGTTCCTTAGAAATTGGGCCCATATACTAATAAAGCAATGATTTTAATAGTTGTTTTATGGCATATTGTATTGACTCCCTAAAAAAATAGTCAACCACTAATCTCCAAAGCAATACAAAACTTTTTTTCTTTGGCTTTTATTAGCTTTCTCAGACTGAATATGGAAAGGATCTGGCATATTTTCCAAATAAAATGAAGGTACAGTACTGCAATTGTGTGCAATGAAATGAAGTCACAACCTTACCAAAGTCTAGGCTTAGTTAAAAGTAAATTTTACCACACTTAGCAATCCTGGCTCCAAAAGTGTACAAAAGGAAACACATCAGATTTATTTAGGAACCAAGCATATAAATCATTACTCAAAGAGAGAACAGTATTTCTGTCTGGTAATTAGGAGTTACTCTTTATTGGAACACACATGAGTACTCTAGTTAGAACAGCCTTCACAGACTTTGGATTATATTAGGTGGTAAGGTTATTTCGTGCTACTAGAGATGTCTCAGTGTCTGAGAGTTATGAACTTTATCTTCCCCTTAGAAGAGAAATTTTTTGATAGAAAATTCATTTTAGAAACATGAAGAATAGCTGACATTTAGGCACGTCAAATATGCAAAGCACTTTTCTTTTAGATCCTTCAGAACAACCCTATGAGGTGATTTACTAGTATTACAAATTCCCTATTTTACAAATGAAGAGAGGTTGAGTAATCCTCAGAGGTTAAATGATTTTCCACCAAGGTCATGTTGCATATATGTAGGGAAAATTCAAAACCTTATTTGTCTCCATACTCCAAACAGGTCTGGCAGTATGCTACAGAACAAATGGACAAATCTCTTTTTTGTTCTCCCCCCTCTCTCCTCTGTGCCTGTCTCTCTTTTCCCCTCTCCCTCCACGTCTAACCAATGGCATAGCTTTTCATCACTACACTCTGCCAAGTTTTACAGATTGGGAAGAGAAGTGTTTTAATTGCTTTAGCTGCTTAATGCCTCTTCGGTAGCTAAGAGGTTTTTGTCTTCAGTTTGAATGGTCTAACAAAAAGAGTCTGCCTACTGGGCTAGCTGGTTTTATTTTCTTTTGTTTTAGTTTTTGAAATCTTCATCCCAAATTTTATAATTCAAAGAATGGTTTTTCCCTGTGTGCAGCACTTAGAGAAGTAGGTCATGATCCAAAGGAGGACTGGGCTTCTCTTCAGAAAAATAGCCCCAAGTTCTCAGCCTACCACATGCTTCCACTTTGGTTACAAAACTGTCCTTTTAAAAAGAACAAATTAGATTTTTTTTGTTAAAAATTGCTTTAAAATTTAATATGCTATATATCCACATTGATGGAAAGATTTTGATCTATATGTTATTCCTTGAATTTCTGACTTGGGGAAAGAAGGAGTGAAGGGAGTCCAGACCCGAGATTTCATTGTTACAGGGAACAGTTAGTTATGCAGCTTATGTGTTAGAAAGTTGCCCAGAGAGGGAAAGGTTAAATGAGTTATTTGCCCTGGGGTCACTTCAGGTAACTTGTGAGAGACTCAGGGGTTCTTGAACTGGGGTCTCTATGAACTTAAAAAATTAGTTTGATAACTTGTACTTCAATATGTCGGTTCCCTTGGCAATCCTATGTATTTAGTGAATTTAACAAGATTTTTTAGAGGGGGTTTCATAGCAATTTCAAAAGACTTATGATGGAAAATGCCATCCACATCCAGAGAAAGAACTATGGAGCCTGAATGCAGATTGAGCATACTATTTGCTTTCTCTCTGTTTTTTTCTTTCTCCTGGCTTTCCCCTTTTGTGCTGATTCTTATTTTGCAACATGACTAATGTGGAAATATGTTTAATGTGATTGTACATGTATAGCCTATATCAGATTGCATGACTTCTTAGGGAGAGGGAAAATTTAGAACTCAAAATCTTTCAAAAGTGAAAGTTGAAAACTAAAAATAAATAAATACATTTTAAAAAAAATTTTAAAAAGGGGGAAGAGAGTTCATAGGCTTTTCAGACTGCCAAAAAAAAGTCTCATGACAAAAAAAGCTAAGTTCCCCTGGGTTAGAGTAGGGACTTGAAAATCAGGTCTTCCTCACTCTCAAGGTAGCCTTTATCCACTATACTTGCAGACTGACATACTACTGGTAGACGTACTAAAATATTGTACTTTTAATTAAAGTATCATAGTATTTCCCTTTAAATTATTTTGGCTCAAGGAGTCTCAAAATAAATGATTTTCTATAAGTAATTAAAGTCTCAAAATGAATTCGTTAGTTTAGAAATTAAGTTTATGAATTCACAAAAATTCAGCAGAAATACTTTCCCAAAGCTTTGGTACTGGAGATTATTTCCTGGTACTTTTTTCATGTTTCTTCTATGGAGAAGTAGTACATCTTGAGTTTTTTCCAAAGAGTTAATAAAATCATCCAATTAGCCATTTATAAGGTATTACTTAATTCTGAATCTGATTTCTTCCTGGATGTTACTGTTTTATGGTGCATTCTTCCATATTTTTATGTCATAATTCATCTGTAAAATGAAGTGGGATACATTTTGAGACTACTGTAAGATTCCTTCCAGCTCAGTTCTAGTACCTGGATTCTGAAAACTGGCTAGAAGCTGTTCTGTGTTTATTATGCAAAATATTGGTAGTTTTCCCTATATACATTCCTGAGTGTGTTGAGTTTACAATAACTTAAAAGTAGAATTTAAGGGGCATTTATATCATTGAACACGGCAAGACTCATTGAGCACACAGGGACTGTTTTCATTTTTGTCTTTATAGCTTTGGCAGAGTACGTAAAAGCACATGAGTAGGCCCGTAATAAATTTTGTTGAATCTAATTGATATGACTTACAGAGCTCAAAATTTAATTTTAAAATCTCAAATCCTTCCCCAAGTTGGTGGTTTCATTGGCTAAGTAGGAAAACATTTCAGGATTGCTTAACATTATATTCTTAATGCCTTTCCAAAGAAACTCTTTTAAAATCTTTTTAATTTTTATTTTTCAGTTTTGTGAGAATGTGAAGATAATAATCCGGGACCAGAGAAGTGTCCTTGCTTCAGCCATCCTGGGATTGGCATCAATTGTCTGTCTAGGCTTGGCACCTCATACTACTCTTCCCGCCATCTTTATTCCATTCTGCTTATGGATGGCTGGCTAAACATAGACCAACCCTGTGTCAGTGTGTGTATTCCAAATCTATGATATATTTATCAGTATAAGCATTGTGTAAAGAAAAAAAAAATGTGACCTGTAACATTGTGTTCTGGATAAAGATGTGATTAAGAATCACACAAAGTGCTTACTGTGTAAAGCCAAAGAGCCAGGCTGGCTTTCTGAATCTTTTTCAGGCAGCTAAGTTTTGTAAAGCACCTCCCAAACCTTGGAAACACAGCATCTTGTGACCAAGTGCTGTAAAACTACTTTCTTACCAAGACGGACACAACAACACAGAAGAGGACTGGTAATATTTTTTTTTTCTTGCTCTCGTAATTACTGCTCTTTTATGTCAGGCCTACATTTGAGGGTTAAAAAGGTTCTGATGTCTAGTGCAAACTGTTACTCTCATTACTGTTGTAAGTTCAATGTAGGTTATATGAATGAGACAGGATAATAAACTAAAAACCATTCCCCCGATTCAGAAGGAAACGTCCATATGTTTTTCATTATGTTTTCTTTTCTGTTAAGTGTCCCTGCAGTCAATTGAAATCACTTGAGCTTGATAGAGGATGTAGGTTTGAAGTAATTTGGTAAGGAGGCCTATAAATAAAGCATGCCAACATATCAAAGGGAAGATGAACATTCAGAATGTAGCTTGTTCATCCTTCTCATAATAGAACCAAGATGGAAACAAATTTGTGGAACGATGGTACCCGTATACCTTTGTTTGACCGTTCATGAAGACGGTGCTTCTTGAACCTTTTGGTTAACCTAGGTAACAAGTCCTGTTGTGGTTTTGTTGTTTGTTTTCAGTGGTGTTGGACTCTTGGTTACCTCATTTGGGGTGTTCTTGGCAAAGTTACAGGAGGGGTTTGCCATTTCCTTCTCCAGCTCATTTTACCGATGAGGAAACGGAGGCAAACAGGGTTAAGTGACTTGCCCAGGGTCACACAACTAGTAAATGTCTAAGGCTGAATTTGAAGTCAGGAAGATGAGTCTTCCTCATTCCAGGCCCTGCACTCTATCCACTGTACTGGGTCGGCTATTAAAAGCATTTGTATCGTACCTCCTGTCACTTTAAAAACATCAAAAAACATTCAGGATTCTATTCAGGATTCTACCCCCCCCTTCTTGTTGCTTGGTATTTTTTATTAACTTATTTTTAAAATACCACAGCAATAATAAAATCAAAATGCAGGGCTCTTAATGTGAAATGGAGTAGGCCCGAAGTATTTACTAGGATTGGTGACCAGTTTGAAGAAATCAGGGTGTTTTTTGTGAGGAATTTGAGTGAGAAATGGTCTTAAGTATTTACTAGGTTGGTGGCCAGTTTGAGAAAATCAGGGTGTCTTTTGTGAGGAATTTGAGTGAGAAATGGTCTTAATGAAACAGTGATCTGGATATTCTTTTTGAAAGATCTGTAACATTAAAAATGAATCCTTATCCTAGACTAGGTTTCTCCCTTAGAACTGTTTGCCAAAGCATTAAATGTGGTTAGTTTGCAAATTGTTGATTGAGTCACAAAATTACTGGATCTGAGTAAGTAGTGCTAGAAATCAGCAGAAATAAAAGGACTGGTTTTTTTAATCTTTTTGTCCCAGACCTTGTCAACAACTTTGATTCTGAGCTATAAAAAAAAATAATAAAAACTGTAAAGATGAATGAAGTGAGCTATACCACTGAATGTGTTCTATGGTGAACTTCTTACCATTAAATCAACATCTTAAGATGTTTATTACATATGTGTAAAAGCAGTGGCCACAGGAATTCCACTGGTGTTTGGTGATTTACTTTATATATAACATGTGGTAACTGTAGCAATTGTGTATAATTAAATAAAAATTCATTTTTAAAATGTGGTTTTAAGAAGAGTGGATGTTCTCGGCTTCCAGAACAAACATCTACTGTAAGACCAGAGCTTAATGTTTGTATTAGAAAAAGAAAGGATGCACACTCAAGCATATTAAGCAAGATACTAGGGAGGATCTCTTCCTGATCTTCGCCCATTGATGTGGGTGTTTGTTTATGCAAACATGGAAGGTGGGCTCCAGGGTGAGGTTGGATGGAGAACAAGAAAGAAGAAAGGCTTTTGGCAAGCTAAAGAACAGGCGCTGGTGTCTGCCAAGCTGTAAAGTATGGAAGTGTGAAAAGGGGGAGGGGCAGGGAGGAGGGGTGGGTGTATGTATGAATAACTTCATTTTTATAATTTATTTACCTGAATAAAGTGGGGAGATTATTACTATGTTGCCCTCGGTCCTTTTTTTTTCATAAAAGCAAGGGAAGGGATTTTTCCTGATTTTTAAATGAAATTGTATAGTCTTCTAGATGCCAAGCAATGTAGAAGTGTCTTGATTTTTTTTCTTCTCTCTGAACAATTTTTCTCCTCCATATGAAGCCATTCTTGTGCAGGCCCTCATTATCTTACAGCTGGACTATTACAATAGCCTGGAGCTTCTGGTTGGTATCCCTGCCTCATCTCTAGATACACCAGTGCACGCTCCATTCACCTATCAAAGTGATCTTCCTAAAAGACTGGTTTGATCCTATTCCTCAATTCCCCAAGCTCCAGTAGCTCCCTGTAATTAACTCCTGGATCAAAAATAAAAATCCTGACTGGCTTTTAAATAAACGCTTCTTAATCTGGTCTCTTCCCACATTTCTAGTTTTTGTACCCTTTGTTTCTCTCCACATACTGTGCCATCCAGTGATACTGGCCTCCTTATTCCTCCCATGCAACACTCCAGTTTGAAGCATTTTTACTGGCTGTTGTCATAACTACAAATGTCCTCCTCTCCATCTCTGCCTATTAGCTTCCTGACTTCTTTTAAATCTTTTAAATCTCAGCTAAGTCCCACCTTCTGCAAGAAGTCCTTTGCAGGTCTCCTTAATCTTAGTGCTTTTCCTTTGAGACTACTCCCAATTTGTCCTGTATATATCTTACTGGTGTATAGTTGTTTCCCTATTTTCTCATTAGACTGAGCTCCTTCAGAGCAGAGTTTTCCTAAACCCTTTTCTTTGTATCCCTAGTACTTAGAACAGCACATAATAGGTGCTTGATAAATGCTAGTTGACTGACTGTGTCATCAATAGTGTGAATCAGAGGTTCCCAAACTTATTTGGCCCTTAAAAAAAAATTTCTCAGCACCACCCTGGAAATCTACTTTCTTGTAACCCTTTAACGTGTTTTTTTTTTAATTTGCATCACTTCAAAAAATATAAAATGGTTTTTAAAATGATGCATCTTAAATTTAATAACTTATTGTAAATTTGTGGTTTTTTCCTGCATTGAAATCTTGATGATTGCACCATGTAACCATATAGTATTGTAAACAAGTCATTACACGCATATATTCCTAATGATGCATGCTGGACTTTCCGACAGTGTCTGACACCCTCACCTGCCAACAGGTGCTTGTTAAGACCTGTAGGTGGAGTTGACCACTGACCAGTTATAACTTGCATTTTGTGTGTTTATTTGGAAAATAATGTAACCCCTACACAGATGAAACACGTAGGAATGGTTTTTCAAAATTCTCTTCTCTTCTTTCCTTAATGCTTCCACTGCCCCTTATTTTTATTCAATGCCCCTAATTGCACCTGAGGCTACTGCCACCTCCTCCCCCCCATCATTCCAGCACCCTCCAGGGGGTTGTATCACCACTTTGGGAACCTCTGGACTGTGAACCTCAGAGCACTGTGGGATGAAAGTACCATTATAGAATTAAGGGAAAGTTATCCTTCCTGACCATAGGAGTAGAGGACAGATCAGAAGATACAGTAGGACATCACAACCTTTTCTCTGATAATTGGTAAATTAGGGATTGATTTTATATATACACATGTATTTTTAAACTTAGAGTTGTCAAAATATATACATGTGTCTTCTTACTTTTGTTATGCTATTTGATTGCAGATTATTTTTTCAAATAGTGTCAGAGACATCTTCAGTGAATACCATCATTGCTGGGCTAATGGGAAACCTTGGCTATCATTAATAAATATATAGCAGATGACATCTACCTTAAAAAATATGCACTATTTAGAAAACTTTTGAATACTAACAAGGAGATTGAAGCAATATATCACAAAGATCATACATTATGACTAGGTGAGATTTATACCCGGAAAACAGGGCTGGTTCAATGTTAGGAAAATTACTAGCATAATTGACCAAATCAATGACAGAAACAACAAAAATCATATGATTATCTTAATAGATGTAGAAAAAACTTTTGACAAAATACAGTATTCCTATTAAAAAACACTAGAAAGCACAGGAAAACTAAGCTTTCTTTACAGTAAGTAGTAGTTTAAGTAAAATAAGTTTAGTTGTAGTAGTAACCCCATAGACTATCTGTCCTCCACTATCTCTAGAAGTCTGTCCAAGTTCATGTTCATTATTTCCATGATACTATCTATCCATCTCATACTCTGCCATTCCCTTTTCCATTTGCCTTCAATCCTTCCCAACATCAGGGTCTTTTCTAGTGAGTCCTGTCTTCTCATTATGTGGCCATAACACATAAAGCTTCAGCTTTAGTAAATGACCTTCTAGACTGATTTGATCTACTTGCTGTCCAAAGGACTCTTCTCTAGTCTTCTCTAGCACCACAATTCGGAAGTGTCAATTCCTTATAGTCCAACTCTCACAGCCATACATTGCTAGTGGAAAAACCATAGCTATACAGATTTTTGTCAGCAAGATGACGTCAGTGACAAATAATATCTGTCTAAAACAATCAAGCATTATCTGTAAGGGGGATAAGGTAGAAGTCTTCCCAATAAGATCAGGGGTGAAGCAAGGTCACCCATTATCACCACTTATTCAGTATTGTACTAGAAATGCTTATTGCAATAAGACAAGAAAAAGAAATTGAAGGAATTAGAATAGGGAATGAGGAAACAAAACTATCACTCTTTGCAGATAATATAGTATACTTTGAGAATCCTGTTTATTGTTCAGTTATTTTTTCAGTCATGTCCAACTCTTCATGACCCCATTTGTGGTTTTCTTGGCAAAGATATTGGAGTGGTTTGCCATTTCTTTCTCCAGCTCATTTTAGCTATAAGGAAACTGAGGCAAACAAGGTTAAATGACTTGCCCAAGGTCACAGAGCTAATAAGTGTATGAGGGCAGATTTGAACTTAGGAAGTTCCTCCAGACCCAGCACTCTATCCACTGTGCCACCTAGCTGCCCTAGAGAATCAACTAAAAAACTAGTTGAAAAAACAACTTTAGCAATGTTATCTAGGATATAAAATAAACCCACAGAAATAATCAGCATTTCTATATATTACCAACAAGGTCTAGGAAGAAGAGACAGATATTCCATTTAAATTAACTGAAGACAAAAAATATTTGGGAGTCTACCTGCCAAGACAAACCTAGCAACTATATGAACATAATTACAAAACACCTTTTACACTAAGATCTAAACAACTGGAGAAATATTCATTGCTTATGGGTAGGCCAAATCAATATAATAAAAAACAAAAACAACAACTTTATGTAACAATTTACTTAATCAATGTCACACCAATCAAACTACCAAAAAATTACTTTCTAGAACTAGAAAAAAGAATAAAATCCATCTGGAAGAACAAAAGGTCAAGAATATCAAGGGAATAAAAAAAAATGTAGGAACATGGCTTAGCAGTACCAGCTCTCATATTGTATTACAAGGCAGTAATCATCAAAACAATCTGGTACTGGCTGAAAAATAAGAGTGGTGGATCAGTAGAATATATTGGGTACACAATACACAGTAGTAAACGACCACAGTAAGATCAAGAATTTGATATATACAAGGATTTAACCAGGGGTAGGAAACCTGTGGCCTTGAGGCCTCACCCTTGATCTAAGCTTTTGGGATAAGAACTCACTATCTGGCAAAAATTGCTTGGAAAACTGT